TCTCGAACAGAATTTAATAAAATAATAATTAGTAACCTCTGACATGACACACATGCTGAAAGGACCAAGAAGAGAACAAATTTGATAAAACAGGTAGGATAACTTTGTCAAGGTAAAGCATTGTTGCCGGGTTTAGAACCTGGCTAAGGGCTGGTCCCCACTTAGTCCGGACTTCGGACTAAGGTACGCAAATTCAGCTACGTTAATAACGTAGCTGAATTCGAAGTACCGTAGTCCGGACTTACCGCGGTCCAGACGCGGCCGGAAGTCTCCCCCCGTCGACGCCGCGTACTCCTCTCGGCGAGCTGGAGTACCGGCGCCAACTGTGAGCACCTCCGGGATCGATCCGGGATCGATTTATCGCGTCTTAACCAGACGTGATAAACCGATCCCAGAACATCGATGGCGTGCCGCCGGACCAGCCGGTAAGTGAAGACTAGGCCTAAGAGACAACAAAGAGCAGGAATAAATCATCAGTTTTCAACATGGCAAAAGTTAACAATGAGATTTGTATTAGAACTGGTTTTGTTTTAATAGGTTAAATGATTTGGGAAGGTGGAGGGTGAATGGATAACAAAAATCTAGGTCAATCTTAGACTTAGGATCTTCAGAGGGACCTACCAAAAGTAGGTTAATTGACAACCCACTAGAAAATGAAATGCATCACCTTGTATTTATTCAGAGATAGAAGACCAGAAAGAAAGAAAGAAAGAAAGAAAGAAACCTAGTGCATCTCTCTCTGAGGAGAAATTGAAAAGATTGTGACTGTTTCATTTAGACAGAAGATGAATACGAAGGCACATGAGACGGGAGTATGTAAAATAATGAATGGCCTAGGGAAGGGAAATTGGGCGCGCTTATTTATCCTTTCATATAATACAAGGTCAAGGGGCTGTCCAATGAAATTGAAAGGCAGCCAATTTAAAACAAAAGGAAATAGTTTTCTACACAATTTCTAATTAGTCTGTCGTGATCTTTACCTCAAAATATAATTGAATCTAAGGTTTCGCAAGATTAAAATAAGAAAAGAATTAGACATTTATATTTAAAGGACATTCAGAATTATAGTAGATATGATATGTCGATATAAAAAAATCATGCTTCTGCATTTAAGCCAACCACTAAAGGTATGTCTGCTGCACTGTAAACCCAGATCTGTGGGATCTGTGCTTGTGGACTCGGTGTTTCCAAACCCACCCTTCGGTGTCCACACTGCATTGTAACCCTGGATTTACAGTTGCTTGACTCAGATCTCACAACTGTGCTAACTCATCCATACTGCACTCGCAAACCTTCTGACTCAGGTCTGTGGCGTGAGCTGCGTCCTCACTCCAAAATGACAGGGCTTAGACCGAAGTTTCAGCGGGGCTTGGGCTCTGACCTTGACCCACCCTCATAGGAGGAAGGGTCTTAGGACCTGGTCCTGAGTGCTTGCTGGTCTGAGTCATGCTGCTTTGTATCCGGACAGAAGTGGGGCTTGGGATCAAACCCGAATCAGAGCCTGGAGTGTGTAGTGTAGATATACCCTCAGTGAATTAGGAAGAAAATTCCCTACTGGGAAAGTTGGTTTGTAACTATCCATTTTGGGATGTCTTACACCTTCCTCTGAAGCAGTTAGTACTGACTGCTGTGAGAAAGAGGATCGTGGAGTAGATGGACCACTGGTCTGATCTGATACTGCATTTCCTACATTCTGTAGTAGTGGAGCTTAAAGCAGAGGACTGGGAATGAGGACTTAATTTCTATTTGTCTGTGTTGCCGATGGGCTTTGTGACCTTGTGCAAGTCTCTTCCCCCTCTTCAGTTTCCCCGTCTATGAAATAGATATAACTGTCACGTGTTGAGGCTTATTAATTTTTGTAAAGCACTCTTGGATCCAAAGGGTATGCAGAAATCCCAAATAAGATGTGCAGAGAAACTACTGTGGGTTAGGACCAATGCCTTGTGGCAATACCAAAGTTCCCATCTGGCTGCAGTCAAAATTCAGCACTTCTTGCGCCTTTTAAAAATAAATAAATATAGGTGTAGATTGACATGGGTTCAAGAGAGGGTTTTGTCAGTCAGCTTCAAATAGTAAATGCTGAGGCCAGCCCCTTGTTGGTGGAGCTGTCAATACAGAAGTGAGTATTTGACATCCGGCTTGGTCTGGCTGGGGATGGAGGATGTTGAGATTTTCAGAGATCAGGCTGTAAATGAAGTTGTTCTGTTGGGTCACTCATCTGATTTACACACAAGCCGTTTCTATTGAAACACCTGGGGCCTTTTGTTCGAGCTTGTGAATAAGCTTCTTTCAGTCCCCAATTGTAATTTAGAGTCTCCGCGTCTTTCAATGGGCAGAAAGCAAGTACAGGAATGACATTTCCCCCCAATGTGTGAACCTTTGCTCTTTTAAAGACAAATGTTGATTTAAAAAAAAAAAAAAGGAACAGAACTCCAGTGGTAATGTAAATCTTGTTACATACATGAGAAAGATCTTAGCTGACTTGCTCAAAAGTAACGTAAGGAGTTGGTTATTTTTTGTTGTGTACTTCCTCTAACTGAGGTCTGGACCAGTATTAACTAACTAGTTTGCATATGTAAATAAGTACATCCTGATTAGCTGCAAGGAGTTCTGTGAAACTGATCTTTTAACTTCCCCTATAAAATGTCCGTTTCAAAGAAAAACCGTTCCATTTTAAATGTCTGGTGATAATGGAGATAAATTCATGTTTTTATGACATACCAGATATATACAATAGTATGTGTACTAACCTCTGCTTTTTGAGGCATCAAGACTTACCCGTACTTGGTCTCTCTGCTTCCTGTGGGTCAGACCTTGATACTGACATCAGTAAAAGTAAATGACTGCTTATTTTATTATGAAAAATAAGTGCTTGCAGCCTTCGTGGGGAAAAGAGGGGTGGACAGAATGATTGCCGCTAATTCCTTTATGACCATTCTGCTATGAGTGGCACTTGGACATCTCTGTAATGGGTATGTTTTAAATCTCTAGAAGATGTACTTATGACTCAGAAATGCCCATGGCTGGACTCTTTTTGCTCTGTAGCCATATGTTTCTTACAATTTTGTTTATATTCCACTTAGCAGAGCATCTTAAGGAGTCAGCAATATTAAATGTGTTTTGGAAGTTCAATGCTAATTTTTAGCTTTGATTAGTGGGGACACCATCTCATTGTAGCTAATCTCCTGGTTACTGTTAGTGAACAGTAGGCTCAATGAAAGCAGACACTGACCAATAAACGGCTTTGAATTGGTTTTAAATTAACAAATTATTAAAAATGTCAAATACCTAAAACGAAATAAATATATGCCTTTTGCTCCTGTTAGTTTTAAGGCTACAGTTGCCTGGACACGAGAAGAGCTTTATAGCTAATTAGAGTAGGTTTTGTTTTGTGCTTTTGCATTGGGATTTAGAATTCTTCTGTATGTGGGAGCACTCGAGTACTGTCTGGTAGGTTAAAACAGCAGACTGAGAAGTGTGACTTGGGTTTCTATTGCTTGCTGTGATACCTGATCCATAATTCCTGCTCTCTCTTGACTTAAGTTTGCCTGACAATAAAATAGGTGACACTTTCCTATCGTACAGGGGGGTTGTGAAGTTAATGTTTATAAAGTGTACAGATTCTTGAATTCTAGGTTCTTTATCAAGTGTAGAATTTATTTATAAAATTGAGGTGAAATTATATTAGGGTAACCAAAACTTCTAAAAAGCACCTTTTCCTAGGTTAAATTCTCCAGTGAATTTGAAAAATATGTATATTTTTGGAGCAGAAGCATCAATTGGAGCAAAATATCCCAAGTGACATGATGTAAACTGGGGATAGGGTTAATTCAAGTGTGGTTTTCTGTATGGTAACAAATTATGAATATAGGAGGCTGTCCTCTTTCTGCCCATTTCTGGATTGGTCACATGGCTCCCACATATTAAATTTAATGCAGGACTTTCCACTCCTCCCAGAGCAGTGAGAAATACTGGCTGAAAAGACAGCTGCCATTTCGCACCGTTACAGCTGTCCGTTCCACTCAAATTTTCTCTCATCCCCCTGCTTCTGAGAAAAAAGGCTTAATATGGTATGGGGGTATGGAGATGAATAATATAATGGTGTGAGATTTCATGTCACTAATCTGTCATATCCTACTGTGTTTGTAACTAGCTGCCCATTTAAAATGTATCGGCACTACACCTCCATGCCAGTGACAAAATAAACAGCAAGTTTATGGCTCAAAAGTTCTGTAACTGATAAGAACAAGGTTGCTGTCAAAATGCCAGTGATATTTTTAACCTTCAGTGCTAGTGATTTCAAAACTACGGATATCAGAATGGAATAATTTTAAATATTCATGGCTACTATTTTCCTTTTTTTTTTGATAGGCTGACCCTCCCCCCCCCCCTTTTTTTTTTAATCCATTTGGAAAGGTGAAGAATCAGTTTGCTATGGTAACTGCAGTTTAGTTATAGAATAGCAGAGCAAGTAGAAACAGAAAACCTTTGCAGTCACTGAGTTATTATTGCCCATGGCGATAGGATCTTTCCCCCTCTTCCCACTCACTCTGGTGCAGGGGTGGGGTGGGAGTGTGTGGAACAAAATCTTTTCTCTTTCCCTGACACCATCCAGTGGAATTTGCCATTCATTTTTCTGCTTACCTTGCAGAATCTTTCACTCTGTGGTGTATTTGAGAGGTGGCTATGCATGGAGGGAGAGAACTGATTAATTGGAAAGAAATAACTTTGTTTAGCGCAGTACCACAAAAACAGAGGCAAAAAGCTGATTAAATAATTAATCTGTTGGACCATAACCTCTTTTTTTCACTTTTTGGTACTGTGTCATCTAAGAGTTTCTGAGGGGACAGATCAATCAGTAGTGTGTTTCTTGAAGCTGTTTCAGTCTTAAAGGCCAGCTGCAACTGTATTGATGCAATTCAGCTAAGCCGTCAAAGTTCCTGTAATCTGTGCCATCCTGTCTCATACAGTCCCATCTCATAGTTGTCCTTTCTCTGCAGTGCTCTATGCCCAGATCTCTGTGGCTGGGCTGCTCCAGCCTGGCGGACAGCATGTCCTCGCTGCGATGCCTGTATAACCCAGGGACTGGCGCACTCACAGCTTTCCAGGTACTTTCTCTCTCTCGCTCGCTCTCGTCTGCGTATGCATGTCTGTTTCTTGCTCTCTCTTGCTTGCTTACATCATTTATTCTGCTTCAAACTGTGTGCTTCCTCATGCCATTCAAAACTCCTACAGTCATTAAACTCATCTCATGTAGATTCTGCGTGTATCACTCTGGGGCATTTTCATTGCATTGTTTTTAATATCATTTTGCCTGAATTGGTCTGGTACCATCAACTTTTTGCCATTGGTTCTCAGGTGTATCAAAAGCATGCAACTGAACTTTAACAAGTGTCACTGGCACACAATATTCCTCATACAGTCTCTGATCTGGGCCTACGGACAGCCAATTGCCTTAATCTTGCTATCAATTTTTTTCTTAAAACTGTTAGAGGAATTTGCAATGGGCTGGTGCAGTGGCACTGATAACTGATGCCCTGCGTTTGTATTTATTTTGTTAGATTTAATAATGGCAGCCCAGGAGCTACAGTTACAGAAAATGAGAACACAGAAAAGTTAACCAGATGCTGCACAAAGCAAGTGGATTTTGCACTGTGCTCTGAAGTTTGGTAGATTTTTGACTCTGAGCTGTCAAGGGAAACCATTCCAAGGACGGGGAAGGGTCTGCTGCTAGGCATGAAGTATTCAAATCTTCAGTTCTGATAGCAAGCGTGTCCCACCCAATCTTAATTGTGTCAATATGGAGTATGGAGTGAGAGGCAACTCTTGAATAACCATGTCCCAGACCATTCAGGGCTTCAAGATCCTTGCCAACACCTTGAATTGCAGCTAGAGATAAACATGGAGGCAGTGCAGATCGAGCTACTCACAGGTGTTGCTTTCGTGCTGGGCACTCCTGGAAGCTGATAACTGATTCTGCACTAGTGGAGGCTTCTGGGCTAGTTCAGAGGTAGTGCCTTGCAAATCAGGCCTTGGAGGCTCAGTGGCATGAATGACTGCTTCAAGGGGCACACTAGAGAGGAAGAGCTGGAGTCTGTTGTCCAGGCAGCTGGTGGCCAGTGGGGCTTTCCCCCAGCAGCCACTGGGAATCGAAGAGCAATCACTGATCTAGTAGGCCCCTCAAGTTGTGAATCATTTGGACAAAAGTCAGTTACCTGCCTTCAAGAGATGGCATGCAAGAATCCTGCATTTTCCTTTGGATCTCGTTTCCTGCTCCAGGATTGGCGGGACTAGGGAGTGCTGTGGAGAGATGCTCTCAGTCCCTGGGGAGGCTTAAGTGCCTTACATCATTCTGCAGCAACCCTTCTAGCTGACCTAGCACTAGCACTGATGGACTCCAGAAGGTGTCCTGTCAGCCTCCTTGGCTGAAGCAAGCTCCCTGCAGAGCTTTCAGTGGGGGAGGGGAAGAGAGTGTTTATATCCTTCTAAGAGGACTCTGGAGACACGGGCAGTATTTAGATTCCTACTTCTAATCCTGATTTGCATAATTTGACTGAATCAGATGGGCCTCTTTTGGGGTTTCTGCTGAGGAATAACTATCCGACGTGTTTAAGCTCTGCTTTAAGGGCGAACCCTGAGAGTGTGTGTGGAGCAGTTTGCATACTGAAACCAGTACCCCTCTTTCTGCTTGATCTGTGTCCGATAGTACAATATATGCTTCTGTTTTTAGCAAAATCATACATTTATATAGCACCTTTTATCTCCAGATACCCCAAAGCACTTTACAAACTACTGGTATTCAAGTATCATTTCACCTCTAACAAAATGTATCCCCATCTGAAGCTGAACAAATCAACTGTGTCACAGGAACACAACTGCTCAGGACTGGAAGTGGTGATGAATACCATATCCAGTGAGAATTTGGGATTTAGCTACACTCAACTCCCGTGAGAAATTTCCGAGGCTATTTAATGACTGAGAGTGACGGGAAACTCTGCCTCACGTGCCATCCGAAACACCTCTTTAGCAGCACGATACCCTAGTCCCATACTGGGGCGTTGGTGCTGTATTTACTGAAGGGAGAAACTTTGAACATCCAGCACCAGTTTCTGCAGCATTTGCATTGTCTTTATCCCAATCAGTTTTTGAATAGGCTTTGACCTTTATTAGCTTGCAAGGTCTGATGAGATTTGTTCCTTAGGTTGCTGTCTATTTTGTTGCAGTAATCTGAGTGGGTGTGGGGTTGGGACATTCAGTGACCAGGATATCGAGAGATATTTCCACCTTTTTTGGTGCTATACAGAATTTTCAGTGTTGCATTTTAAGATCTGTTTTTGTAGCCCAGCAAATTTTCTCATATTAAGCTACTTTTTTTTTTTTAGCAAGCTTGAAGTAACTGGAGAAGAATATCAATTTTCTTTGCTTGTGGCAAAGAAGGTGCCATCTGGAATGCCACTTAGTCACTGCTGAATTTGTCTAGTTATTTACATGCTTTGCCATGAAATGCTCAGACAGAAATGGCAGAACAGGCACTTTCTGAATAGTTCAGCTAACAACCTGCTGACACCTCATGGGAAGCATTGGCAAATATTCGAGTTAGAGAATTCTCGTTATGTCAGATGACATCCAAGTTTCTCATCCTGTGTTTGTTTTACTATCAGAAACATTTGTTTGAAAACAGGCTCTTACAGTCCCTCAATTCAATTTGACAACTCTTTGTGACATCACACCAGGTAGCCACAATGTCAAAACTGGAGTTCTGATTTTTGCGTGGGGCATTAAGCAGCAGGAGCGATATATTTCTCTAGTGCCTCTTATCTCAGAAGTTCCAAATGTGCTCACAAACCATGATTGACCACATAAGTGAAAAGCAACCAGCGCTTGATGGAGACCAACAGCAAACGGGTACACGACATGCTGCGTAGCAGAGGATGACAAAAGGACTGATCTTTTGCTCTTAAGAGCAAAAGTGCCATCAGGCCTTTAATGGCCATGAAGAACATGCCATTCCAAACTGATGGCAAATTTTATCCCACTGTGACCCTCCTAAGCAACAGAAATCCTGTTTACATGTAGATGTTCTTAATAATAAAAATAGTCATATGCAGTTGTCTCTGAAACTGAATATTTTTAAGTTTCCAGGACACACAGCAGGAGGTGTATTTATATTCTAGTGACATTTTTCACTTAGGGGAAATAAACAATTTTACTCAATCGTAAAATACTTGCCAGAAAAGGAAGGATGCAAGTTCAGAAGTCCGCATATGTCATATTTAAGAGCCGTAGCTGACTGTGAACCATGACTTACTGTTAAACTTGGTGTTAAAACACAAGAGGGCAATGAAAATGGAATGTGTCTCAAGACATTCAAGGTTGCAAGTTTTGAATGTGAAAAAAGTTAAAGTAATCTGGGTTTTCTCTTATTTGGGTAACAGATGTTTGGTGGTAATAGGATTTAGCCCTCATCTAGTGATGGCCATCTGTAGATGTCAAGTGCTTCACAAAGGTGGGTAAGTGTGATTATTCCCATTGTACAGGTGAGGAAACTGAGAAGCAGTGAGTTTAAATGACTTGCCCAAGCTCTCACAATAAGTTTGTGGCAGAAGACTCCCACCCAAGTGCCACATCAGATATAGACTGTAAACTCTTTGGGGCAGGGACCATGTCTTTGTTATAAGGTGCCTGACACAATTTTGGGTGCTCAAAAAGAAAAGAAAACAGTTGTAGGCTGCCAATTCTGACATCCAGTAGTATGGCGATGGGTGGCATAGAAAACAGAGAAGGGTTAGATTCTCCGGGGTAGAGTCAGAAGCATCCTGTTGGATGAAGGGGAGGATTGCCTGCTTTACAGAGTATTTCATATAAATTCCCACAATCTGCTATACTTGAAGCTGGTTAAATTGAGTACTTGAGCATGAAGCAATACACACAGAACGTCACTTCCACAGGCTGTAGCTCCTTAAAAGATGAAGGTGGCTGTGATCTCTGCAGTTTTGTGCAAATTAGTGTGACCTTATTGATGACAGAGGGTGCTGTCTTTTGATTGGGCAAAGCCCTTAGAATGAAGTATATGAGAGAGCAATTTTGACGTTAGCAGATCGGACAGGGTTAAGATGCAGATGGCACATGTGCACCATCTCTTCTGATAGAGGCCATTTTTGGAGAAGGGTGAGGGATAAAGATGTGGGATGATTGAGATGCATGGGCCACAATCTGGTATACGCAGGCTGCAAAGAGAAAGGGGCAGCTGTTTGTTTTTTCTTGCTTGCTTGTCACTTTTCACCATGGCTGATAATGATACATCTGAAATGATTTCTCTTAAGAGGGGCATTGTCAGTAATTTATATCCCATGTTCAGCTTCCTTTGTAAATTTCAAAGCCCGTTTCCTTTGGACTATTCATGGGTTTTATTTAAAAAGTTGAGTTTTTCATTACTGAAAATGACTGTGTATATATAAATGAGAGGTAATGATGATATTATTGATGGCCTTAAGGTAAGTAACCCATACAAAGCAAGCTGTGCATGTCTGCAGTCATTGTGTTGGGTGCAGATGTCTGTTACAATTTGTCTAAAATGAATTATTCAGCACTGGAAAGAGCAATTATTAGTATGATCGTTTTTGTGTCTAACTGGAGGTGAAATATACGGTCTGGTCAAGAGATTCCATCGGCACCGAGAAATAGCTGCACTTGACCAACCCTTGCTTTGCATTCCCTGCTCTGGTTCTGTTCCAGCGGCCCTGTGAAATGTGCCTGCGGGCTATTTACGGTGAGATTATAAAAGTGAATCAGAATTTTGGTGACTAAGATCCAGAGCGTGTGGCTCTGGCACCCCCCAGCTGGTGGCAGGCTCACCCCTGTTTATGAATGTAGTTAGGTGGCCCCCCACTGTTTACAAGACAGCAGAGGTGAGATCTTTGATTGACAAGTCAGAAATGCATTAGATCATTCCCTCTGCCAGTCTCTGGTTCACGCTGTTAAAAATGTCAGCCTCTCCAAGTTTGAATGGCAGCCCGAGGGCCTCCGAAGCTTTTTGTTTTCTGAGATGGAAACACAAATTGGATGTGTGCCTGAGCGCTTCATCCTGGGCTGTAATTTCATCTTTTAG